CGCAGCAACAAGCTGAACAACATTTCGCGTTAAAAAAAAAAAAAAAATCTGGACAAACATTTAAATACAAAACTAAAATTTAGATCAAACAGTTACCTGACTGAATATGTATTATTCATTTTTAAATCCAATGTGTAGCAGATTTGATATTACACAATAATTGAGACCCAGAAAACTGAAGGTATAAAACTATAATTCAAAGCACTTAAAACGTTAGCATGTCCACAAAGGGCAGAAGACTCATGAGATTGACAGAACGGTTGCAGAAATATACAACAGATATGACACATGACACTGGCCAGAATATACAGCAAAAAAATTCAGTTTCACCGCTAGATTTAGCGGGAGAATCGACGTCACGTGACTTCAACATCAATTTAGTTTCCTCTCTAAATTTCGTGAGAAAAACGATGTCACATGGCTTCATATCCTTCGGCCTACACACAAATATAGTTTCCCCGCTAAATTTAACAGAAACATTGAGATCACGTGAAGTATACTCAATTCTCTTTCCCCGCTGGATTTTGCGGGAACATTAATGTCACGTGGCCTACACATAGATACAGTCTACCCGCTAAAATTTGCACGTAACCGGCCGTAGCCCGTCATTTCTCATACTGTGTGGAGACAGGCTCAGAGTATCGCTAAACCTTAGCGAGGCAAGAACGTTTCATGTTGACTGGCAATCTGCCATATTTTTTTTTTCTAATTTACATATACTTAGTCATCTCCAGGCCCTCGAAACCAAGACAGATACTTAGTCCAGCCCCTTAGCCCAAACGCTTCAAGACCTTTAATCTAGGTTATTTCGACACAAAGTAATTACGCCGAGAAAATCACCCGGGCTCAAGTTTTATAGTTGTGTAAACTTAAAAGGCGTCAAGAAACAAAACTGATTTGTGCGACTACCATTAAACTGCAGCTGAGTGCTGTAATACGAGCAGGAGTGTGGGAACTCTTCCGGGGACAGAGGGACCGGGGGGGGGGGGGGGGGGGGGGGTGCAATGGTGGTGGCGGTGGGTGGGTGAGCCAGATCTCCCGTCCCCTCGGCGTAATGCTTACATTATATTTCTTCAATATCTAAAGTGGAGAAGTCTTCGCCGCCCTCCCCCACCCCCCCTTTCCTACGCCACTAAATACGAGTGACCTTATCTCCAAAACTGCCCAAAGCAAGCTTTAAAAAAAAAAAATGGGCGAGAGAATTGAAATTTCTGTGAATGAGACAATACAAACCTCTTTGTCCAGCGGGGTGTTATTCTCATGGAGCTGAATAAACTTGTCGGCGGAAAATTCCCAGCCACGTGTTGTGAAGAAGCGTGTAGTAAAGAAGAAATAGTGGTACTTCTTCAGAATATCCACCATCCTGTATGTACAAATAATAATCAGCAGGTTACCAGCCACCAATGTGGGAGAGCCTAAACGTTTAAGCTTTAATTATTATTGTCTCAAACTGCATATTTTAGTAGACACAATAGACACCTTCTCACCTGCACACCGAACGGCACCACAAACTTTTAAGTGCAATAAAATACTATCTCTCACTATCACTATCAGTATGATATTCGGATCGATTACGAGCCTAATGTGAATTGCTATCTACAGTAATTTGCTTCAGATTACTTCAATGCAGATATTTTCAAAAGAGTGTTTCCAAAAAGGGGGTTCAAATATTCATTAATATTTTGGGTCAATTGAGAGAAAATAATCTCTTATCGAATCAAAGTAGGGGCGCAAAGCGGTGAACAGGCTCTCCCTCGCATGAGAGGATGCGGCACAAAAAGGAGAGAGTGGGGTTGTAACGTGTTGAACGGACAATTTAACATGAATTTAGCATAAATTATTTGAACAGATACAGCAATCTTCACGCCGGTACCGGTAACAGCGACACCAGAGTCTGCAAAAAAAAGCCAGCTTTTGCGTGGCGCAGAAAGTGACATCAACTGATGCTTATCCGACGATTGGCCATTCTGAAGGGAGTCAGCTTGTGCGCGTTTTTATCGTAAATTGTTAACAAAAAATGTGTCTCTTTTTTTATTGAGTGACAACGAAAGCATATATTTTTCTCAGAAAAGGTTTATTGCAACAAAAATAAAGTATTATGTCATCCCGCATAGAGGCAAATTGAAATTGTCGAACGCCTTTCAGTCGAAAATATTGGGCGGGTATTGACTTAAGAGTTTGGTGTGGCAGTTACATATACTTTTTTTTTCTACTGAGAAAAACAAAAATGACGCATTATTTTGTTTTGTACGATTTGTAGCGCGATCCTTGGTTTCACGCGCGAAGGAAGTTGCAGGAACTGTGACAGGCTGACGCGTTGTAGGTTCCGGTGCTCCTCCGGGTCCATGTCAAAAAGCTCCAGTCAGATGATCGCGTAGCACGCCTTGATATTTCCTGCACATCCATCCTGTCTTTCACTCAACAAGACCTCTCTCTGCCAGATGTGTAGTGAAGTTTTGTGCTCGAATGCACGGTTCCGAGGACATCGGCAAACGCCACTGCGAGAGCCCAAGATTGCGTCGCTTTTGTTCCCAGCCTCCTCGAGCGGGACCATACATGAGTTATGTCTTGGATTAGTAAAGCTATATTCTCGTCCGCGTTAAGCCTATCAGGGTGTTCTGTCTCACTTGGCACGTAACACCGATACCCAACAATTATTGTTCTTCGAAACGCGATTGCGCTGCTCGCAACGCGACCGGCAATAGACAATGTCGAAAACAAATAATGTCCGGGCATACAGACAGCTCCGTTTGAGTGCGTTTTACTGCGCGTCGACAAACAGCCGCGAATTGTAGGTACATATGCGCTTCGCGTGAAGCGTGTCAACGAATTCAACGATTATCTTGACAAGCGGCATGCCGAGCACGAATGTCTGGGTCACACAGAGCCTCAGCGCGGTGAAACGTTCTCAAACCAAAAAGCTACAACTCACCGCGCCTGACGCACTCATGACCACTAAATTCTGCCGCAACCGGCAGTTCACTGTTGACGTCAAATCCAATAGACCTTTTCCGAGAAGCGTTCAGCGCACGCGCGAGCGCCCGATGCCAAGCGGCGGAAGTCGGAATGAAAAATCGAGGAAAATTGGAAGGAGGCTGTCTATCAGCGAGTAGAACACGTAACTGCAGCATATATATAATTGTGTTACACAAAAAAAGAACGTTGACGGAAAGGAAAACACGACGTTTGGGTGGACGCCACGGATGCCCCTCTTTAAAGTCGCGTTGGGCAGGCGCCGCTGCTCAGAGTGCAAAGAAACTGGTAGCGTAGCTCCCATTATCGATTGGTAGCGCAGGTAGGTCACTTCCTCGATTTTTAGTTCGTGCAGCCACCGCCTGGTGCCATCGGTATGTGGAAAAGGTCCATTAGTAGAGGTTGCATAGCAGTGAAGCAGAACAACAGTCCCGGATTCGTCCTTTTACTTGACACAAAAATAGTAGGCTCCACAGAATTGTATAAAGCGACTGAGCTCACTGCTAGATCCTTGCCAATTCGGAAGACATCCGTCTCTATAGGAGGTATTCACTGGACGCCATATTTGAGGGCGATGTTTAGAGCGCATGGTCAGAACGAGCTCGCATTAATAGCCTGTTAAGACCGGCAACCTAGATGGTGCTAAATGCACGCTCCAAAAGGACTGCGGAAGCTCGCCGCCAGCGCGAGCTCAGCAGCAGCGCACACTGATATGGCCGCCCAGAGAATAATCCCTATACTCCGTTTCATCTTATGTTGTCCCGCAGCGAATTCTAGAAGCGCGAGATCATAACGTTGGCAGCTGCCTAGTAATGCGCGAGAACATGTGCCGCCGAGATGTGCTCTAGAGCAGGGAGCTCACGCCCGTAGGTTTTCTTCCGGTACATCATAAGGTGAAATAGAGTATAGAAACGTTCAGAATCGACTGAATGATGTCTTTAACACCGATTGCAGCAGACGCTACAATAAAAGGGTGTTGATCAAGCCGCGCCGAAAATGCATCAGCACGTCGCTCATATCGCCAAATCGGCACGTCGCTCGCTCATCGTCACATCATTATCATCATCATCATCACAATTATCACCATTCGCTACTACGGCAGCGTTGCTACCCTGCACGATGGACATTATTATGCCTTTGACACTGTTGATACGGACGTAATCTTTCAAAAAAAAAAAACTCCTTATTGGTAGTCTATGATACGTTAAATGTTTGCTTTAGATATTCTGCAGTGTGGAAGCTGAATATGATGGAAACCAGAAGCAATAAAAGCTAAAGAAAATGACTATAAGAAATCACTTTCTCATTGGACTTTGTCGTCTTATGGAAGTAAACATTTTAGCGGGTCAATAAAATTCAGCCGTTACCCCTTTGAATGTGATCGGTAATTTTCATATGGTTGTGCATACAGCACGAATCAATAATATTATTTAGACTTCTGGCTCATGGCTCGAGTTCCGTGCGCAATGTCGGTGTACCCGATGATCTTACCATCGTAAAAGCATTCACTTAATATATTAAATCATTGTTTCTTTAGGCCTAAGAGATGAGACCATCCTAGCATCACAGCATTCGAATCTGGACATCCCATATACCGCTCGATTTATGTATCAAGACCATGGTACCTAGAATTGCGACGCAATCTTTCGGTAGGTGCAGCGAGCAGTCCACATTGTGCGTCCTCCGCTTGATGCGCCTGCAAGGTGATGGCTCCACAAACTAATTACAACCCTAGTTAACTCGGTCGTCTGCGTTGACGTCCGCGGATGACACTTCCAATTCTATTGATTTCATATTTCCCAGGAAGGAAGCTGCATCTTAAAATGTCACCCGGTAAAACGTACCACTTAAATGAACATTCGGTGATTGTTTGACTTTTCTATGTGCAGGCGCTGACTTCTTCCGCTTGTTATACAGCGCTAAGCTTCGTTCAAAATATATAATACCACGCAAGGGAAATATATGAACGCAGAAAACCCGAGAACGAGACTTATTTAACTATCATCAGAGGTATCAGCGATACCGCACTAGATTAAAAATATGCTGAATGAATAGAATGCCAACCTTATATTCTGGTCTTTCTTTGGCCGCACGAGGTCAGAAAACAGGGCCGGAATATAGTTGAAGACAAAGACGGCGACGGCTTGGTAGGATCGGCTCATCGTCATGTCCAATCCTGGACGACCACAGAGTGTTTTCGGAAAGTGCCTCCGCCCCATTTTGGTGGTAAGGTGCGCAACTTCGCTGTACAGGATCTTGTTGATGGTGCCACTTGCGCAGTTGTACACCGGGGGATCCTGCCCGAATAGCGCTTGGGACGTGCTTCTGCATGGTTGCAAAGAATAATGCAGTTGAAGCGCTCCTATAATGTCTGGTAGATATGCGCAAGAATTATTAAGGTATGAAGGGCGAAAGCCAGCAGCCGGTCGTGTGGCAAAGAGTAAAATAGATCCTTCACATCGACACTAAAGGCTCTCCGCATCCCCCAGACGCCTATCTGGAGACATTCTACTACCTCATCACACTGAAAACCCGGAAAAGATTTCCAGAACAAATGAGGTATTTTGGAATATAGGTCGTCCCCCAAAAAAAACTTATAAGAAGGGCATGGCTCTGGTGTGTCAATGTTCCGCTCTGAAAAAAAGTCGGATTTTTGCACACCGCAGGACAGCTTTGGAATACTAGCAGATAGGCTTAGAAAAGCAATTTATCCGTACGACATAATGCCATACGTGGCATGCACCCTGTTAAGGAGAGCAAAAGGTGTTCAGCCCGCAAAAGTTGGTAAGAAGATAAAAAAAAACGGCGGTGATCCCTTACCTGCACAGGGTGTCTTATAAAAAAAAATGAAACAATAAAAACGTAAGAAGGCGTTTGGGAGTCCCTGTGGTTTTCAGAGCAAAGCTGTTTATGGCTAGGGTTCCGGGCATTTTTCGTGTGCGTGACCTAAAACTGTACGCTCGCCACGCCTCACGCGCCGCACGCGCACGCCTTCCCCGTATATAAGATGCAAAGTAAATAATCAAAATAAAGCGTTGACGAACATGCGCGCAAGATGTCATTTGTTTTAGGTTTTTGCTTTAGAACAGTTACTGCGGCAGACGCCGGCACGTGCGGCGCGTGCAACACCATACCCTGCACTCCCCTTCATGCTCGGGTAATTTACCAATCGGTCTATTTGACTTCTCTTCTGTCTCCGTAATGCGGAGGCCGCGTATGGTAAATATCGTCCGGTCCCCAGAAGGGCAACGCGCCTACGAAGGGCAACGGCGGGAAGGGCAACGAGACTGTCAACGGCGGCAAACACCACCAATGAAGATCCGGAACGAAACGCGAAACGCATGCGGCAAACCAGACAATACGACAAAAGTCGCGGGGCAGAGAACGCATAAAAAAGACGCACACATCATGTTGCTAAAATGGAGAACTTTAAAGGAGCATGCGCAAAGGTTTTTTGTCATCTGTGTCGTGTGCATAACAGCTTTCCTGGTAATACACCTTCGCGGAGTGAAGTGGCCCATAATTTTTACCTAATATTTTTTATTATTGGTAGTATGGGGCATAGACAGCACACCTAACCAATACTACGACACAATGGCAACGTGTTCTGACTGCCCTTCATTTGTAGTTCGCCGACAACTCCGCAGATGGCGCTTGTTATTCGACAGGGATCCGTTATAACCTTTCTGTCAAATCGATGCCAGGCTCATTCGGGGTCTGAATGATCACTTTGAAGTACCTCATTTAAATAAATCTCAGTTTCTGTTTACTCAAAGCTATGTACAGGGTGTCACCTCACCCCCAAACAATTTCGTTTTTTTTTTTTTTTTTTTTTTTTTCCCCGCAATAAAAAACTACGCGTCACCGAACGCTCATTTTCGCCCAAGCGTAGCTCACGCGATTCGTGCCAGATGCCAAAGTTTCTGAACAAACCGTTATGTTATTCAAAGGTTACAAGAGATTTTATGATATTTTTAATGACAAAAAATGGAGGCGGACAAAGCTATCGAATACATGAAGCTGAGGGCGCCAGTTACATAAAATGGGCAAAACCGGTTTCATTTTTCCTTTGAAATTTGGAGAAAATCACTAAATTTTTGATAGAAATATAGGTTGGTTTCGAAACATTGGCACCTGGTTCGCAAACGCCACAATTCGGCAGGGAATGAGCGTTCGGCAAGTGGACGCGCTGTACAATTTGGGTGACCATGAGACACCAAGATGGCTATTTGTGTCCTGACAGCTTTGAATTGGGCTTACCTTTCTCGTTTCGGCGCTTGACAAGCTGCGACGATGAGTGCATTGACCACGACGTCTACCGGAATGATGTCCATGACTGCACTTTTGTTTCCCACGATGGTTGTTACCACACCTGTACCGCCCTGTGTTAAACAGCGGGAGTTAAATATAGAGGGTGTTATATACTTAGGCTTTTCAGATTTGTTTTCAAAACGCTGTGAAAGCTACACAGATACCGTTTCTGAAGGTGAGCTATACGGGGGCTCACAATATCGGTGGCTAATTGTCACGATAAATCGGCTAAAACACTAATATTTATTGTTCAACTTCTTCATTAATAAAATTAAACACATTGTTTCAGTTAGATTCTCGCTGAGCTTCATCAAATACCTCTAAATAAGTATTTTTGAAAATAATTACAGCACGTGAAAAGGACGGTGCAGCGCTAAATTTACCTGTCATGCAGCAAAAGAAAGACTGCCGGTGCGATTTGTGGCCTGACAGCTCGTGCCTGCTGCATGAGTAGTAGCTTGAGTGTTCTACCGCGCTTCTCACAAGCTCGAAGACTTCTGAATGTTAAGGGGTATTCAAACGAGGGATTTCTCCTCGGCACGCGCATCCTGCGACGAAAACGTCAGGCTCTGCGACGTGCAAAAGCCTCGCGTTTTCGTCTCGTGATGCGCGCGTGTCGGGGAGAAATCCCTCGTGTGAATACCCCTTTACTGATTAAGTCCTTTGCATTGACGCGCAGCAAGTTTCCGCCCGGAACCATACATGTTTTATTTCTCTAATTAAAGGTAACTAACCATTTTCTGTTAATTGTTCCACTAATCACGACAATTATTAATCCCCTATATTATGTCCCTCTGGCCGTGTAAGTCCCTGAATAAACTTCGTTGGTGTAGCTTTCACGGTTTTTTTTACTAATTTGTAAACCCTAAAATGCACCCTGTATAGCAGTTTCATGCCATAGGAAACGATGGAATTCCAAAAGAAGGGCACATATACAACAATTAACCCAGCGTTTCATAAACTATTCACGTGACATTTTACAAAGTCAAACTATCTCAGATAGCAATAATGCACCTTTACATCCGTAAATGCACACTTAGATTACATTCACATAAGTTTACGTTTCTATTCTCTACAGTATATGGTTATCTCTGTATTCACATGCCTGATAAGACATTCGGAAGTACTTAGTTTATTTGCTTTTTACCACATCTTGTTCTTCTAAGTGCATACTATCTAGTTGTCATAAGCTCTGCTCTTTGTTTTTTTTATTTAGGGAAGTTTTTGAAGGTGAAGCAAGGGTAATTGAGAAAAAAAAGCAGACAAGCTAGTGAATGGCATAAATCTTCAGCCCGAAACAATAAAAAGAAAACGAACAGAACAATAAATTTGAGACATCGTTGTTAAGTATATATTTTAGTATTCTTTTGCCTCTGGTTCAAAGTGAAAGCAAGAGTTTGCCTTCATATATTACGAACTCATGACCCTTGATTACTACACAACAAATTGTATGGCCACCTCTAAACTTCGCGTGAACTTTAAAAAAGTGTATTTCATTAACGCGACCGTGTCATAACCTGCGTTAAAGCATTGAAATTAGAAATGCAGTCTGGGTGTCAGTAATCAAACCAATCATATTTTGAGTTGAACTGAATTGTGAAATTGTGTGCTGTCTTTCCGCAAGGACGAGGCTAGGAGGAGCATTGCTTTTTTTAAAAAAGTACGGAAGCCAATTTTTTTCCTCAGTCAATCATTGCAATATTAAACCAAAATATATAGTGTGAAATCAGGATCCGACAGTGTTTTCAGTAAGGGTACGAAAATGTAGCTGACATACGAAAACATGATAGACAGAAACCTTTTGACTTTTATCATGTTTTATTAGCAAATGTTTCAACTGCACCTTTAAAGCCATCTTTTTACATTGACTTAAAAATAGCTCCAGCACACAAAAAGTCTAAAAAAATATTGTTTTATATTTTTAATTTTGATGCTAGCAGTTTTCAATCGATATTTGCAAAATCAGATGAGCAACCATGAATAGCTTCTTGTCAAATTCGAGTTTTAAAACGTGCAGAGCTGATGGTTTTATTTATTTTTATTGTCAACAATAACATTCATTTAACTGACGTTGTTCAAAACAGAATTTCATTTATATGTACCACCCAATTCCGGCATTTTAATAAAATTAAATTTATCAGAGTGCGCAAGACCGTTCTACTCACTGAAGCCACCAACAGGTTTACTCCTTGTAGTCCCTCCACCCAGCCCTATGGAAATGCCAAAACCGAATATTATTTTGCTATTCACAGTAACAGGCATAGGCTACATTTAACGTAGCTGTTCTGTTTTAGTTTTTATGTCATCCTAGTTTGGTCAGGCTGCGTAGTGAAAACTTCAAGATCCTAGGTTCAACCAAGAAATAAAGTAGATTTATGTTCAAAATATGTTACAAGAAAGACGGTTTTTTCTGATTGCAGTCCAGGCAGAGAACGTTATAAATTTTCTATAATGTATATAGCTCAGCTGGTGTCTACTAGAGGTATAAAATAAAACTCAAGATGATTTAAATCGTGTTTTAAATTATGATGGTAATTGTACAAATCTGACTGATGTTTAAAATCAAGCCCTTTGCCCAAAAACAATTGTATTCACCTCTTCTCTAACATTTTTTTTTGTGATTTCCATGGGCGTTTATATTGAGCTTAAACGAAAATGTATTATGAAGTAAAGAAATAAATCAAGCCGCAATCTTTAAAATCACATCATAACAAAAATATATATTTCCTATAATTAATTTAAATAAAAATACAACTGGATTAATATATGAAAAAAATATTATGACTTCGTTTACTTTGAGATCAATGAAGCGTTACAAACCTGGAAGTAATCTGAAATAAAACTTTAAATTGAACTAGTTCCAAACCTTGCAAAATAATTATAACCGCAAAAAACAAGGAGTTCTCCGTGTTATGAGGGGTTTTGTAATAACTTTAATACTTAGCATTGTTAGTATATTGCACAAAAAAGAAGATATAATCAAGCATGATACATCTCTTTATATGCAAGCCTTTCACCACATCTAGGGATAAATTCTTGTGAATTACGTAACAGCACGCGGTAAGTTTTCGTTAATTATCTGTCACTTTTGATTTCCGGCATGTTCATGTAATATAGCGTATCTATACCGATAGTACTCTTGGCACGCATTAGAATGTGGAATATGAATGCTCTCCCCATTTTATAATTTGTCTCTTTATAATAGATGCGAGTTTAGTATTTTTAGGTCCTATATTTTACATGCCAAAGTTGGCTATCCTAGATTACATATATGACAGAATGCCCAAATGGTAAACTGAAATGTCCGCAATTTTTGACATTCTAAACTTATTTTTAAATATGTATTCAAATTCAGCCGATTGAATAAAAACGACCCCTTCACCAAACTAGAAATTTAAAAACTTCACACTTTTAGTTTGCGTAAACGAGTATGGGGCAATATATTTGTATATCCTGAGGCTACACGCTAGTCGACATGATGGCAATAAAAAAGTCGAGTGAAGGACCAAACTTCTATCAATGCGTATCGAATGTGACCTTGAATACCTTACATTTTTTCGATGAACTTAATACACAAATTGTTCTAGGGTATGTGCCCCCCCCCCCCCCCCCCCAGAAAAAAAAAGAATAGACTGAGTTTTTTTGGGTTTTTTTTTTCTTTTTTTTATGCAAAGAAAAAGCTATGCATCATCGAATGCTCAGTTTTTGCCCGAATGTAGCGCTATTTGTCTAGTCCGGATTCCAACATTTCTCAACAAACCGTTGTCTTATTCGAAGGTTATAAGCGAATTTTTTAAAGCTTTAATCGTAAAATGGTGGCCGACAAAGACCCGGAATACATGTGGTTGAATGATGCAAATTACAGAGAACGGGTCCCATTCTCGTTTTAAAGATTAACCGCCGAATTCAGAAACCTCACTCAAACTACACTCAAACTCAAGGGCCCCTCCACTTCCTAGAGGAAGGCGCAAGGGCCGGCGCTGGACAATAGCGACGGCGGATCCGTCCTCGCGATTGGCCAGCGTCGGCCCTCGTGCCTTCCTCGAGGAAGTGGAGAGGCCCTTCAGTTTGAGTGTAGTTTGAGTGAGGTTTCTGAATTCGGCGGTAAGAAACTCACTTTAACTTTTGAATAATATAATAGTGTCTATATGAAAGTAGCTCAGAAAATAATGCTCCAGTTGTTTTTCTCGGAAAATGTTTATTCGAGACAGATTAAACGCACAACAAATGCTACTGCACCTTTCCTTCTTGCACGATATTTTTACTTTGTCTTCGCTTAGTTTTAGGGCTTAATGCTAGCGTAAAAGAAGGGTATAAACGTTTTTTTTTTTTTTTTTCTTTTTTGGTACCGGTTCGTTTTCGGCTCACGTGGAGCCATGTTTTAACTCCACGAATTACGCCACTGTTCTTCGCAACCCTTTCTCAGCGAAGTGCATCCTTTACTGGCCCGAAGAGATGAAAAACTGACGGCGACAAATCGGAACTAGCTGGCCGATGAGAGAGAACAATCCAGCAAACGTTGGCGATGTCCCGATGGGTTCCGAGACTTTCGTGAAGGCGGGCATTATCGTGCTCGCGATAAAACGTGTCTTGCATTCCTCTTACACCGAACATGCCGGTAACGTTGATAACTCTTTTTTTTTTTTCCTGACTAAATTCTCTAGTGCCAGTGATTCGCTTGCGGTCTACTGATTTACATGAATAAATTACTCCGCACACTGCAACTTGTTCGGTTCGGTGGTGGTGGCATGATGCAACCACTGGGGTCGATTATCGAGATCTATCTCGCCAATGTTTCAATTATTTTCACCTGAAGTTAAACCCCACACCTGTCCACTGCAGAAATTCTATACACCGCAAACAAACGGCTATGAATTTTTCCCCCAGTTTGTTTCTCGCCACTAGAAAGTAAAGTCACAGCTCGTTGTTGTAACGGACGTCAGATGCAAACACTATTTTCACGGACTATTACAAAGGCGCTCTTTGAGCGACGATCGTCAAATTACATGCTTGTGTACGGAAAACATAAATGTTGGAGCTTAATTTCCAAGTTACTATTTTTGGAGGGCGCGAAATAAAAGATAACACGACGAGAAACAAAATGGCGCGACCAGAAACATTGCGTTCTGTACAACCCTGGTACATTGACATCTGGTCTGGACAACTGGCGCCAGATTTGAAGAACATCGAGTCTTCGGCGATGCGTAGTTTATTTTTCCGATAAAAAACGAAACCGTTAATTTTTTTTTTGTTTTTTCTTTTTTTTTTGGGGGGGGGGGGGGGGGGACACGCATTTCGTGTTTGTAGTCTGCAGTCCCAGAATTAAAAAAAAAACACAAGGTGCCACCATACCAAATGTAAAATACCAAGTAATTACCACTACATAATTCCATATTCCATCTAGTCATTATCTAGAAAAATTTTGATTCTCCAAGAATGAACTTATTCTACGTGAATAAATAAATGCCTAATGAAAATGATAAGGCCTCTTTTTAGTGTGATTATTTTTCGCTAGCATTGTGTGAACGCCTTGTTATCCACTATTTTTCTTTGATTTACATTTAAATTTTAAAAACACAACCCGGTATAATTCATTTTACTAATCGTATTCGCTCTACAGTCTTTAAATTGCACATGCGCAGTAGCTCTCTTCTGCAAAATTTCTGAAGCCGCGCAGGCGTCCACATCCCAGTAAGCCAGCATTTCTCGAGTGGGTGATAAGTAGAAAGGTGTCTAGAAGTCGTAATAGGCGGTGACTCCGGGAACAGTGTTCAACTCAGCAGTGATCAGAAGGGACAGTTCCAGAACAAAAAGACGTGTCCAGATTTTGCAACGAAATTATATACACCTAGCGCCCGCCCACGTTGTCAATAATAGCGCATTGTTGCTTCGTTGCGACGTACCGGAACTG